TTTTTTGGTTGCAGCCATCATTGTTTGGCGGGCCCAGGCTGGGGATTCGAACCCACCACCTTAGGTGTATGTGGCTGGCGCCCTAGCTGCTTGAGCCACAGACGCCGAGCCCATATATTTACTTTTTGCATTATCCTTTCTTCCTTCCTCATATTCCAAGTTTCCTTCTTTTATCATATCTTTCCATTTTAAGAACTGTTAGCCATTCTCTCAGGGTAGGTGTGGTGGCCATAAATTAATTCTCTTAGTTTTCCTTCATCTGAAAATGTCTTGAGTTACCTTTGGAATTGTCTGGATAGAGGATTCCAGGTTGCTAGTTCTTTTGTTTCAGCACTTGAAAATGTGCTGCTTCTTTCGGCCTATGTGGTTTCTGATGAGCAATCTGCCAGCGTTTGAATTATCTGTCCCTTATAGGTAAGGACTTTTTTGTTTTGTGTTCTTTCAAGGTCTTTTCTTTGTCTTTAGTTTCCAGAGTGACTGTGATGTGTCATTGTGTGGATTATATGCATTTTTTTTTCTAAAATGGGATCTCACTCTGTCACATGAGTTGAAGTACAGTGGTATGATCATAGCTCACTGTACCCTCAAACTCTTGGGCTCAAACGATCCTCCAGCCTTAGCCTCCTGAGTAGCTGGGACTAGAAGCACACACCTGGCTATTTTTTTTTCCTTGTCTTTTGTGGAGACAGGGTCTTGGCTGTGTTGCCCAGGTTGGTTTTGAACTCCTGGGCTCAAGTGATCCTCCTACCTACACTACCCAAAATACTGGGATTATAGGTGTGAGCCACTGTACCTGACCCATTGTGTGGATGTCTTTGGGCTTATTTTATTGGGGTTACCTCAGCTTCTTGAATGTGTAAGTTTATGTCTGTAGTCAAATTTGGTAAATTTTCAGCCGTGATTACTTTGAATATTTTCTTTAGCCCCGTGCTTTCTCCTCTCTTGTGGGACTCTGATGATACAAATGCTAGATCTCTGGGGGGTTTTTGTTTGTTTTTTGTTTTTGTTTTGGTTTGGTTTTTGGAGACAGAGTCTCACTCTGTTGCCCTAGGCTAGAGTGCCCATAGGTACCTCAAACTCCTGGGTTCAAAGCAATCCTCCTGCCTTAGCTTCCCAAGTAGCTGGGACTACAGGTACCTGCCATGACATCTGACTTGCTCAGGCTGGTCTCAAACTCCTGAGCTCAGGTATCCTCCCATCTCAGCTTCCCAGAGTCCCAGTGAGCCACCATGCACTGCCTATTCTTTTTTTTTTTTTTTTTTGCAGTTTTTGGATAGGGCTGGGTTTGAACCTGCCACCTCTGGCATATGGAGCCAGTGCCCTACCCCTTTGAGCCATAGGCACCACCCCATGCCTATTCATTTTTTAAAATCTTTGTTATAGCTTCATAGATCTCCATATAGAACATATATATGTATATATATATAACCTATATATACATATATATATATTTCTTTTGGGGGGGGGACGGAAAAATAAAGAAACACCCTCAGTAGAGTGCTGTGGTGTTATAGCTCACAGCAGCCTCAAACTCTTGGGCTCAAGCAATTCTCTTGCCTCAGCCTCCCGAGTAGCTGGGACTACAGGCACCCACCATAACACCCGGCTATTTTTAGAGAGAGAAGTCTCACTCTTGCTCAAGCTGATCTCAAACCTGTGAGCTCGGGCAATCCACTGCACCTGGCCTGGCTCTGTATATTTTTGTTTTAGGTTTTTCTCCTTCTGTGGTTCAGATTGAGTAATTTCTTTTTTTTTTTTTTTTCTTTTTTTGAGACAGAGTCCCAAGCTATTGCCCTGGGTAGAGTGCTGTGGCATCATAGCTCACAACAACCTCCATCTTGGGCTCAAGTGATCCCTTTGCCTCAGTTTTTCTATTTTTAGTAGAGACAGGATCTCACTTTTGCTCAGGCTGGTCTTCAACCTGTGAGCTCAGGCAGTCTACCCATCTCAGCCTCCCAGAGTGCTAGGATTACTCCCAGCCCAGACTGAGTAACTTCTATTGTTTCATCTTCACGTTCACTAATCTTTCCTCTATTGCCTATATTTTCTTTTTAACCCTACCCAATGAGTTGTTAGCTATTGTACTTTGCAATTCTAAAGTTTTCAGTTTTCATTTGGTTTGTCTTTTTCTTTTCTTCTCTCTTTTTTTTTTTT